TCCACTCAAGGGCAAGGTTCAGAGTCTCTTCTGTCATCCACTTTGGTCTTCTCTTCTTTTCTTGTCTTTTTAGTGATCTCTTGCTTTCTTCATGTTCAATGCATCAAATTTTTTCTTTAGATGATCTGGGCTGGGGCTATTTAAGTGAATAGCTTTCCTTCCCAGCCATCTTCTCTGAAACTCCACTTTCTCACCTATAAAGTAAGTAAAATAGTCACCTTCCTCACGAGGCTATTGGGAGGATCCAAAGAGAGAACCAAGAAAATGAATAATCTGTGATATTTGTGAAAGTGTTTTGCAAACTTTTTAGACAGTTATAAACATAGAGTGTTCAAGAAAACTTCTGAGGAAAGGAAAATTCTTCAGCTCTTCCCATTGCTTTCCTCTAACTATTGGCCTTCCACCACCATGAATTTAACAAATGCTCATTGCATTCCTTTCTTTGATGTCAGATTATATGCATGAATATTTTTAACTGTACTTTTCCATCTCATCCCCCCAGTTTGCTTAGTCTCTTTTGTTCCATAAATTATTCTTTAGTATCAATTATTCTTTAATCAATCATTCTTTAATATCAATATGGCAATACAATATCAGAATACTCAAAGCATTAAATAAGCCACCAAACAAAAAATTAAATAAATAAATCATCAAGATAAAATTCAAAGCTTTGAATTTTTCAGTTAGGAAGGGAAGAGAGAAGACTCTTCCTTCCCTTGACTCCTAGTTTGGGGGCCCATTGCCACCTCAAGTCTGGGGAAAAGGGGGCTTTTGAGATTGGTCCCATTACTTCTGGAGTTGAAAGTATCCCTGATTTAGTTATTCCAGAAATACAGTAGGCCTAGTGTATTACTATGGAGCTCTGGGGGGTGTAGTGGTTAAAGCATTTGGCTACTAACCAAAAGGTTGGTGGTTCGAACCCACCAGCCGCTGTGCAGAAAAAAGTTGGAGCAGTCTGCTTCTGTAAAGACTTATACCCTTGAAAACCCAATGGGACTCTCTATGAGTCAGGGAATTTGTTTTCAGTTTTTTGTTTTTGTTGTTGTTGTTTGTTTTTAAAAACGTATTTCTATCTCTTCCAAATTCCCTATTATATACAAATAGTGGTGAATTTGGTCTTTATGTCTACTATTGTTAACAAGGACAGTCACTTAGATCCTACTGAGTCCCAAACAGCACATAAGGCTGCACACAGTTATTGCTGTGAAGAAATGCAGAAAACACAGTTTGTACAGTCCTCGCTCTGCTGGAGTTTAGAAGCAAGTGAAACCAGCAATAATTGCCCAGCATTGACGGTTGTTTCAGATGGATCAACAATGATCCTTTGAAGTGGGTCTTAGCTTCATTTTATAGATGAGGTACCTGAGGTTCAGAGAAATAAATTTCTGAAGATCACACAGGTAGCCAGTGTCTGAGCCAGGTTACACACAGATATACACACACACATAAAGTCACTGTCGAGTCAATTCCTACTCATGGAGACCCCATGTTTCAGAGCAGAAGTGTTCTCCACAGGGTTTTCAAAGTAGATCACCAAACCTTTCTTCCAATGTGCCTCTGAGTGGCTTTGAACTGCCAATCTTGCAGTTAGTAGTTGAGCTCTTAATCATTTGTACCACCTAGGGGTTCCCACAGATTTACACAAGGTCTACTTTATTCCAAAGTCCACGCTTTTTCCACTCTATTGTTTTACCTCCCTTGCTAGGAAGGCAGGCCACACACCAAAAAGGAAAATTAACACAGACATTAAAGGAAACCTACAAATAAATAAATCGTAGAAACTCTACAGACTATTCCATGGACAAGAGTGGCTAAGTGTCTGAAGTACCTAGAACTAGGCTGGTCTTTATCTGGGAAGAAGGGAGACTCATTCTCAATGATTCTAAAGCAGATCAAGGACAAGGAAGGTAGACACCCTCAGAAAATAACTATGCTGGAACCAAAAGAAATGACACTACAGACGATTAAAAATTTCTAGTAAGCTTGAGAGCTGCAAGGAGCCCTAGAGGCTCAGTGGTTAAGCTCTGTCTGCTAACAGAAAAGTCAGTGATTCAAACCGATCAGCTGGAAGAGAAGACCTGGCAAATAGCTCCCATAAGGATTACAGAAAACCCTATAGGGGAGTTCTACTCTGTCGTATGGGGTCACTACGAGTCGGAATTGACTCCGCAGCATACAACAACAACAAGAACTACAAACTGCACACCATTTGTCTTTCCAGATCAAGATGCTTGATCTTTATGACCCTAGGAAGTATATTTAA